GCATGCAAGCGGGCGCAACGGCTACAACAGGCGGTTGTTGCAGATGGGGTCCACTGCAATATGTGCAACACAAGATCTACTTTTACAGAGTCTAGAGGAAACATTTGCAACATATGTCCAAAACAGTTCAAACACTTGCAACATACATCTGAAACACGAGGGAAACACGTGTGTAGCCATTGCAAAACGTATGCAACATTTAGATAAAACACTTGCAACATATGTGTGAAAACATATGCAACATCCGGATAAAACACTTGCAACATAAGCGTGAAACATATGCAACACCCAGATAAAATACATGCAACATCCGCGGTTTGAAACAGCTAGAATAGACACTTGCACCATATGTGTATAGCCATTGTAACATATGCAACATCACAATCTACTTTTGCAACATCCACATGAAACACTTGCAACATGCATATGAAACACCTGAAACACTTAAAACATGCGCTTGCAACACGCGCTTGCAACATCCGAGGAAGAAAGGGAGCGCGAGGTGCAGTCGAAGAAGCCCGCTCCAGCCTCTGGGTCCAGCCATTACGGATGTTGCAACGAGCTGAGGTCAAGCATCGCCTGCGTTTGTTCCAAATGTTTCACTCTGGATATTTGAAAATGGCATGCACTTCGCGCTAATAACTATCATTAATAATCATTTGTTTTGGTCATACTCCCTTCGTACATTGACTAAATATATAAAAAATAAAAATATTTATGGTACAAAATTAATATCATTAGATAGATCATTGAATCTATTTTCATAATAAATTTATTTAGAGATACAAATGTTGCACGTATTTTCTATAAATGTAGTCAAACTTACAACACGGAAACAAAAAGGGTTTTTTGATTGCTACCATTACAATTTTTGAAGTTTGGAGAAATACCATTACTATTCATCTATTCTGAACTCTACCATTACAATCCTTCCACCGTTTGAAATATGCCACGATATACGTTTGGAGAGACCTTGGACCCAGCTGCAGGCGTACACGACGTCATTGTACTTTTATATGGACAAAACTACCCCTTCCACTTTACTCTCTCTATGTCACTGACATGTGGACCCCACTAGTCATCTTCTTCCTCTATCCTTCCACGTCTTCTTCAATGAGACCATGACAGCTTCTTCCCCAACACCCATGGTGACGAAGTGGGCGCCTGCCGCCATTGTGCCCATCGAACATGCATGGTGGGGTGGAGCTCCAGCGTGCCCATGGCGGGCCAAAGCTCCTCCTACTCGAGCTCCCACGTGGCCATGGCGGGCAGAGCTCCCACGCGGCCATGGTGGGCCGAAGCTCCCGTGCCTCGAGCTCTGTCGGCGGCACCGGGAATGGGCAAGTAGCAGCAGCTCCGTACGCCCCCGCCTCGAGCGGCGGAATCATGGAGGCCCATGTCGACTTGACGAGGCGGAGCTTCTTCTCGTGGCGGCCAGAGCCAGAGGCAGGCCCGTCGTCGTCCTCGTCCGCGGAGCTGTTGCTCGAGGCGGAGGAGCTCTGGTCCGCAATGGCCGTGTAGGAGCTCTGCCCACCATGGCCGCGTGGGAGCTCGAGGTAGAGGAGCGCCGCCCACCATGGGGCGACTCGAGGAAGAGTCTGCCACCTGCTCATCCATGGGGCGCCGCCGCTCGCCGCTGCGACAAGTAGCTCGCCGAAGAGGAGCTCCACCTGCGTCGCTAGGCCGATGCCACCGGGATGCTTGTCGTACAGAAGCAGGACCCATGTCACCATCCGACGACGAGATCTCGCCCTACCTCATGCTACGCGTGGGTCGTCGCCTTGCACATTTTGGTATTTCTTATGACTATTGGACTAATTCCGCAAGCGCACATAATATATCGATATAGCACTTCACTTGAGAGTAAACCAAGTATCGTATTTATTTCCACAGAGAAGGCGTAGTATGACTTAGATAAATGATCACTTAAGTTCAAATGAATTTCCTAGATACGAATGTAATGGAACAAATGAAAGCAAACTAAACTAACTAAAATAATAAAATGAAAGACTACTACTACTACTATGGTCACAGAGTAGGTGAAGATAAATGAACTACTGTCTTAATTGTAACTCTATCAATTGTCTAGCAAGTGAGCGATGAATATACTTCGGGGCGTACCTGCCCTAAACTCACCCTAAGGTCGATTAGGCACAAAGCACCATGAGCCCTATGATTTAATAATTAATTTCAACATGGTGGAATACAGAGAATGGACAGGGCTATCACCACCTGCCACCTACCGCAATCTATTCGAAGAACTAGCCACAACCCAAGGTACCCTATAGTCTAAGCACCACGCTTACACTAAGTGATACTACTCTAATCTCGTGCTAAGATCAGAGCACCAACTAGTGGCGAGGATCCCATATATCAGAAATTTACTAACTAAACAAGATATGATCAAAATATTCACAACACTACTTTACTCTAATTACAAGAAAGTAAATGCTGAAAATAAAGACAAGTACTAAAGAAAATATAAATAGAAAGCAAGAGTAGCTTACAAGAGCTTATAGAGAGACTCCCGACGACTCCTCCTAAGATCCTAGCTCTTCACTTCTTCACTCTCACTCTCACCAGTAACCTAAACTTAGGAGTAGAGAGAATGATTCTACTTGGGACGCTTTACAACTGCGGGGAACACCTCTATTTATAGCACTAAGGAGTTAGGGGGTATTTGTAGGCAGTGGAGAGGCGGTGGAGCTTCCTTGGGCGCCGGGCGGCCCTCCAATGCACCGTCAATGCATCGGAGGGTCACGGTTTGCTCCCAAAGGCGGTTGCATTTCCAGCATGTGTGAAGACTTGGTCTGAAGGCAGTTCCAAAGTTGGTTGATGGCCTCCAAGGGGATGACAATGGGCCCATGGATCCACGGTGAGTGAATCATGGCCACTGCTCAAATCGACATGAAATGGACGCTTGTGATGTAGTGTAGGAGGCGTCCCACGGATCGATGATGTGGACGGGGACAGGGTGATGCCAGGGGGTGCCACATGGCCACCGGCCGGCGCGGCAGTGTGGGCCCAGAGGCCCCTACCACGTCCATTTGCCTCCATGTCACATGTTTTCCAACTTTTCACTATTTTTCCTGCATTCAAATAAACCTCATGTACAAGTGGAATTCCATTAGTAATAAACCAAATCTTTCCACTTTATGTTGATTTTCCTTTGAAATGTATGCATTGTTGATGGTTAAAATAGGTGTTTAGTGACCATCAACAGCGCGCAAGCGCTGGGCGGCGCCGCTGCTGCTGGCCTTGCGTGTGCGAGCACCGCCGCCGCCTCGCACGAGAGCGCGGGGCATAGCTGCCGCCGACGGCCTGTCTCCGGTCCGTCCTCGCTGGCACCGCCACGGCACGGAGCTGCGCAAGCAGGGTGCTCGAGGCGGAGGAGCTCGGGCATGCCATGGCTGTGTGGGAGCTCTGCCCTGCCATGGCTGAGGGGCACGACGGTGGCTGGCGCCCCCTTCGTCGCCATGGGAGTTGGGAAAGAAGTTATCATGGAGAAGACAGGAAAGGAAGGAGGAAGAAGATGACTAGTGGGGTCCACACGTCAGTGACATAGAGAGAGTAAGGTTGAAGGGGTAGTTTTGTCGATACGAAACGATGACTCGTGTACGCCTGCAGTTGGGCCCAAGGCCTCTCTAGATGAATACCATGGCATATTTCAAACGGAGGAAGAATTGTAATGGTAGAGTTGAGAATATGTGAATACTCATGGTATTTCTCCAAACTTTGAAAATTGTAATTGTAGCAATCCAGAAAACCCAAACAAAAAAGGACACGTTAATAGACTAGTTTATCAAAATCAACATTTTAGCCTTTCAATTTGGATTGGTCTCTGCCCAATGTAATAGCACAGCTTCAAGTACACTAGGAGGGTTCAAGCATTCATGTACAACTTTTTGACCTCCTAGAACGTCGATAAGACATGTTGTATTGAATATTTTCTCTGTCTTAATACAAAGATATGCAAACCTTTTGAGTGTTTGAGAAAAAAAAACATTTTAGACTTTCACGTGTTAAATACATTCCCTTCTTGTAACGTGTATATTTCATAAACATGATACAATCATGATGCAGCGATTTTTATTCTCACAGATGGAGTGAACACACAAACACCGTCATCCATGAATCCATGATGATGTAAGAAGACTTGACTCATCCTCAAGGGCCCGTTTGGTTCTTTGAACCTAGAAGAAAGCCTAACCAAATGTGTGGAACAATTTTATTAGGTTAGACCACATCCCAAATTTTGACCATGGTCAACTGAATCCAGCCATAAACTCCATCTTACCTTAATCAAACCAACCATTACAGGTTTACAGCTCCAGCAAAACACCACAGGGCACAGGGCATGGGGATGAATCCAAAAATAATAATGAAACCCGTCAGTTAATTAAAGTACTTAACGGATAACTGCCATTACCTACCGACGAAATCCACAATTAGCTATAGATAGCAACGCGTGGTCATCCAGTAACGAAATCTGGCGTTGGAGTGAAGCTGTCCATTTCCGACCAACCCAACTCGTACCGTCCAAGACGGGGCAAAGAATGCCCGGGGAAGCCGGCGAGCTGGAGCCTGGCGGCAGCGTGGAACCGGTCGTCCTCCTCCCTCCCCGTCGCTCCCGACCTCCTCCTCCTCCTAATTTAACCCCACCCGGCCTCCCCGGTTCGCCCCGACCGCATCCCCCCTTAACCTCCCCTCCTCCTCCTCCTGCGGTCCCAACTCCCATCCTTCGGTTCAGGAGGCAGGCAGGCAGGAAGGCAGGTTCGAGGGGGGATTGGCTCCGCTCCTGCTCCATTGCGCGTGATCCGGCTCGTTCTTTTGAGTGATCTAGGCGTTTCTTGGATTAGTCCTGGAAGAAGGTCAAACGGTTGTTGGAAGCCTCTCTGGGTGCTTCAACGAACGCGAAGGTGGTGCTGCCATTTAAGCACGTCTTGGTTGGATTTAACCTGTTGGCCTGGTGGCGTGCTGTCGTTGATTGAGCTTCGAGGATGATGAAGTGGGGGCTCAGCAGCGGCACGCCCGCGGATTCCTACTACGAGGTGCGGTCAGATTGCACGGACGGTGTGCCCAAGAGCAAGTTCAAGATCAAGGTCTGGTTTTTCTACCTTATATGTCTGTCTGTCTTTTATTTCATTCTGTATCTGTCAATTTTGATTATGGTGTGACGATGCCTATAGAAAGCATAATGTGTGTTTGATGGTATCACAATTTGGCCAATGTACGCCTTTTCCTTTAGAAAAGAAACAAAAGATTGGGCCCTTGTAGTATTGGTGTAATGAAGGAAAATATAAACAAATTTTACAAATGAGTACTGTGTAGCTGGAAAGATGGAGAATCTATTGGTTCATTGGCTCATTGCTGCAATAACACATCTTGCATCTGCTCTATAAATTGCTGATTTAATAAAGAAGAGAGGTTGTTGCAATACTACTAGCATCAATCTTTGTCCTTGTCTTAATAATATCTCATTTCCTTTCCAAGCCTCATCAGCACCAAATAGATGAGCCCACTCAATACATTCAGTTCTTTCATAACTCTTTTGTAGCCAAATCTCTGCTGCAGAATCCAAGTTGCTTAGTTTATGAAATAGTTACAATCAGGTCAGATCGAAGACATAGGGTCTTTGTGCGAACTTACTTACTCCTATATCAGTATTGATAGCATTTTTACTTCTGTTGTTGAGGCCTTGATTGTCTACAAAACACAATCCTTTTTTGTTCCAAGCAACTATATCTTATCTACTTCATTTCAGGCTGGCAAAACATTAAGTGCTCGGAAATGGCAGGCTGCATTTAGTCCCGATGGCTGTCTTGATATTGCCTCAGTCCTAAGCCGGATACAAAGAGGAGTAAGATTCCTTAGTTTCATATATGCTCCTTGTCCTACAGATATTTCTTATATGTGTTATGTTCATTTAGTAATGTTTACATACCAATCAATATGATCTATCTTCTTTTAGGGTGTCCATCCAACAGTCAGAGGTGAGGTCTGGGAATTCTTACTTGGCTGTTTCGATCCCAGAAGTACCTTTGATGAAAGGGAAGAGATCAGGCAAATACGGAGGTACTTGCTTCAGTAAAATATACAGGGCATTTCTTGTTTGATAGGCGTTTTTTTCGCATTAGGAAATTTGTAAGTATCTGCCCCCTTAAAATTAAAGAGTGATAGTAATGCCTGTCGACTCACCAATTAAACAGTTGCTTTTTTTTTTGCTAGTTATTCCATATTGGGTCATCATTTTAGTTTCCTGTTTTTTTCTCTTACTAAAGACAATTATTTCTACCAAGAAAAGTTAGTGTGACCCCTATGGTATAGACAAAGAAATAATTTTTTGCACCATCACCCCTTTTTGGGATGGCAAGCTTCAGTTTATACTCAGTTACCATAGAAAGTAATTGTTCAGTTCCTCCCCTTGTATTGTCCTCGCATTGCAAATCCTTTCCCGATATCTCTGTAATAATTTATTCCGATGATTTTTATTTATGGGAATAAAGAACTATCAGTAAAACATGATGTTCTCTTAACCTGATTTTTTTTTTTTACGAAAAGCCTGAATTTTTATTTTTTGACCTTATGAATCACACAGGCTACAATATGCCAGATGGAAGGAAGATTGTCGACAGATGGATTCGCATGTTGGTAGTGGTAAAGTTATCACAGCACCACTTATCACTGAGGATGGCAGACCTATTAAGGATCCTCTGGTTTTACTTGAGGCTACTTCCGACAAGAACACTTCAGAAGGTGCTCCAACTACCAGCATAAATGGAACTGAAATTGATGAATCTGCAGAACGCATTACCGATAAGCAAATTATCGAGTGGAAGCTGACATTGCATCAAATTGGTATGCTTTAACTTTATTTTTTTTTCTCTGCTTCCTTGGATTCTTTTCTCCCTATCTTTTTTATTGACCTTTGAATTTCAATATAGGGCTTGACGTCCTACGCACTGATCGCACCATGGTATTCTATGAGAACAAAGAAAATCTTTCCAAATTATGGGATATTCTAGCTGTGTATGCATGGATTGACAAAGATGTTGGTTACTGCCAAGGTTAGCTACATCAGACATGCAGAGAAAACTCATTCACAGTCCAAATAAGCTCACTGGTGTATTATCATTTATACTTCATACAGGAATGAGTGATTTATGCTCACCAATGATAGTTCTACTAAATGATGAAGCAGATGCCTTTTGGTGCTTTGAAAAATTGATGCGTAGATTGGTATGTCTTGCTTTTTGTAATTTTTCTTCTAAAAATTCAGAAACATACATTGGTACTGTTGCAGGTCACCTACATTTGGTTCCTTTCATGTTTGACATCATTCTGATCACTTTGATGATTGAAATGTAGCGAGGAAATTTCAAATGCACAGATCAATCTGTGGGAGTAGCCAACCAACTTCAACACCTTGCGTCTATTATTCAGGTTCTTGACCCGAAGCTACATGACCACCTAGGTAAATATGGGTAGCACAAACTTGTCCAAAAGTCAATCTTAATTTTGTCTTCTGTGAATATTCTCTTACGGTACTGAGTCCTGAATGCAGAAACTCTTGGTGGAGGTGACTACCTTTTTGCATTCCGTATGTTCATGGTGCTATTTAGGCGTGAAGTATCATTTGGAGACTCCTTATACCTCTGGGAGGTATGAAGCTACCATAATAATAATACAGTATGATGAATGTATGCAGAATGAGACCATTGGTTGTCTCTTGATTCTTCTCATTGATGTCTGTTGTTCATGATCTTGACGCATACTCTTTACAAGAATAACATTTTTGTGGTACCTTAAGAGCTTTAAGTGCAGCTTCGGTTTATTTTACTAGAATTATTATACTCTTCGGTTTATTTTACTAGAATTATTATACTCTTTTTTATGAGCCTTATGTTAATTTTGAACTCATCTTTTGTCTTTGAAACCTCTGAACAGATGATGTGGGCTCTGGAATACGACCCTGACATCTTCTTCGCAGCGTGTGAAGAACAAGGTGCAGTACATAAAAATAAAGTTTCTAAATCCAAACTGAAAGGACTGCGCCATTTTGGCAAGTGGGATAATAATAAGGATAAGGATAAGGACAAGGACAAGGACAATGCTAAAAATGGGGCTGAGGATGGTGAAGATGGTCCAGTTCCAATTTCAGTTTTCATGGTTGCAAGTGTCCTTAAGGAAAAGAGAGAGAAGCTGTTACAAGAAGCTAGAGGACTGGATGATCTTATCAGGGTAAGGGGCGTAATCTTTCCTTGGTGGAGTTCACAAATGATCACTTTGATCTATGCTTGGGTTGTACATCAACAATCTTAACTCTTGCTTTTATTTCCTTCCAGATATTGAACGATGTAAATGGGAACTTAGATGCCAAGAAAGCTTGCGCTGGAGCATTGAAACTTCACAAAAAGTACCTGAAAAAGGTAACCTGCTATCCTATTGCCAATCAAATTCCTGCTATCATGTTGGCCAGCACTACTTTACATGAAGGCTGTAATAAGTGCCGATATATGTGATGCAGGAATTTTCTTACTTAACAACTGAGTACGCTACACTTGTTGCTTTGACAGGTACAACAAGCAAAGAAACCTTAAACGTGCCATGGAACACACCTCCCCAATGATACCATTTGAACATACACGACCATTTTCTACACACAACTTTGAGTGAAGATTTACAGGACACGGGTGGTAATGGTCTGACGTGTCCTCAGATACACTGACTCTGATGGTGCCAGGCTAGTGGGTTGAGTACAGGATGAGTGCATGTATCTCACGTTGTTTGCACTCAAGAATTTTGTACAGACAGAAGGCGGTGCGGGTAGCATGCCTTGCATACATAACTATTTCAATACAAGTTGAAATGAACAACACCTTGCAACAGAATTCAGCTTCAGGAAAGTTCTGCCCATGTTGTAAAAGCTGTAAAAGTGCACGATCTAATGTTTTCATTGAAGTACACAATACCAAGAGAACTAGTAAGATTTTTTTTTTTGGGAAATTAGAGAACTAGTAAGATGACCTGGCATGAGGCGCGATCTAAAAACATGGAAGGGGCTTTTCCTCCTATAGTGGGCTTAAGAGGAGCTACATGTTTCCGGCGTTGGTAGGGGGGCCTGAGGCCCAGCCGACCGTTGCTAGATCCACCCCTATCTGACAACTAGGCCATTACCTTAATCCTATCTGACAATTACGTGGCCATTACCTCCTATATCCGTAAACTTGTTAAGTGATACATTATAGATCCATACCAGCCACACCACATGTGTATCACTTATCACGTTAGCGTGGTATGCATTTTGCATTTAACCCCCCTCCCTTCTCTCTTTTCTTCGGAATCGTGCAAAAAATACCAAAATAAATAGTCCATATAATACAAACAACTAAAATTAAAATTAAAATTTATAAAAAAATAGTAATATGATTTTCATATGTTGGAAAAAAACATACAAACAAAAAAGTTAGTGTGTATAAGTGTATTATTAAGTAAAGTTAAAAAATATTTCTTTGACTCTATGATTAAAAACCTACTACATCAATCCTATATATCTAGATTGTAATAGTTTAGATCTATCAAAATATATAAGAAAAAGATAAAAAAAAAGACTAATACATATATAACATGTGTGGAAAGAGATAGTAGCGTGCAATCTAATTGACGTCATAGCTCAATTTTTGCCACGGCAATAAAAAAGCAAGAAACCCACTTGGAAGGTCTATGGGAAGGATGTCACACATGCACAAGAGCTGTCCAAGTCAGATACTAATGTCTCGGCGTACTTATGAAAAATCTTCAGAGCACTTCAAATCCTCACGCCACTCTCCCCAACCCCGGTATTCTACGTCTTGCCATCTCAACATGTCCACTCACCGAGTTGTTCTTCCATCTTTCTAGACGAAAAGTTTTGCATTACAGTTGACATCGATAAAGGAAAACAATCAAAACAGAACATGTCGATTCCAACGATCGGGATTGAAATCTGATGGCTTTCTAGCAGTGACCTAGAAGAAGAACATGTTTCAATGGCCAATATTATAACCAAATAAAAAATCATATCGACCTTTAATATTTTACATGCAACAATTGGTCCATTGATTTTCTGGTACGCAAGTGTACAAGTTTGCAAGCAACATAGTGGGTATATTTGGCTTTTTTTTCTTCACAAGAAGTTGTAACAACTAGAAACAAATGTGGTCACATCATGTCCAACAGTGGTGCGGTGGAGTGCCATGGATAGCAGGCCTGAGATCAATAGATCACCAATGATGGCTCCATGGTTTCTTTGGGAAGAATTGTGACGCTGAAAGATATGTTGGTGCAATGAAAGGGTTGGACAACGGCTGCTTGGGGCAAAAGTGGCTCCAACAAATATGAACGGAATTACGATGGGTCTAGCTTTTTTTTGGGGTGGGGGTGGGAGGGGGAGGGGGTAGGCAACAATGAATCTGCACTAAAATTTACAAGGTAGTCCAAAACTTAAATTTGTAAATGGCCCAATGAATTGAACAATTGTTAAGTGACTTGGGTCGTGGTTTTACTGAGTATTGGAGCTCACCAAAGCAAAAATGAAGGCTACCCTTCCTATAAAAAAAATGAAGGCTACCTAAATTTGGCATGGATAAAAATTGCACAGCCTTATTATGATTGAATTGGGAAGAAATGAAGGAGGAGAGAGACGATAATAGGTTCAAGATAAGGTATTGATGGATGATAGCTATATAGAGTTCGTACCGATAGATGCAATGGGGGCAAAGAACAATCAAACAAAGAAACAAAATTATTAACGCAAAGTATTTTACAAGAAAAAATCAGATGTTATAGTGGAAAAAAAGGCTAGCTACCCATGTTATTTGCGCGGGCACCTTACTAGTTGACAGACTGACATGTTAGGTTGTTCTAAGGAGGGGATGCTGACTAAATATGTACATTGAAACTTATGCTTCACAGCTGTAAATTTTATTTTTCTGATTTTTAACATATGAATACGCCCTCCTCTGTAGATGAAAACTAATTATGCGGAATATACATACACTACCGGAAACTGGGTGTTTGCCGAGTGCATTCTATAGGTCACTCGGCAAAGAAGCTCTTTGTCGAGTGCTGTAAAAAAAACACCCGGCAAAATAATTGCACTTGGCAAAAAAGGCAAAAATACTAGGCAAAGTTTGGCACTCGGCAAACAAAAAAAATACTCGGCAAAAGATAGGCACTCGGCAAAGAACCGCCACGTGGACATTCGTCAGTCCGTGTGCCGTCCGTTAGTACGTTTGCCGAGTGTCCGTTAGTGGAAACACTCGACAAACAAATACACTCGGCAAAAGAGCAAAAACACTCGGCAAAGAAATATGTTTGCCGAGTATAATTATTTGGCACTCGGTAAAGAAATATGTTTGCCGAGTGTAATTACTTGACACTCGGCCAATAATTTTATTTTATTTTCTCTTTTGACATTGAAACTTTTTCTACTCTCCACATACAACATGTAGTACTACAAGTTAAAATTTGATGTACTTCTGCATATGTTTGCTATATTTAATTAATTTATTGCATTTCTAGGAATTTTTTGGTATAAGTTAAATTTGAAGTGCAAGTGATTCAAATAATAGAATAAAATGAGTAGAAAATGATATTCATGTTATTGAGTCCAGCGTGAGGCCTTACCCGGAAAATGAAAAGAAATTTCGAACATCTTGTTTAGGAAACATGACCACGAACGTGTGGCCGAATGAATTTTAAATTTTAAAAAAAGCAAACGAAGTCTAAAAATCATGAGATTTTGTCATAATGTGATGATATCATACGTGGAGGCAGTGGTAAAAAATTGAGAAGGTTTCGCACAATTCTCTCACGTACGATGCTTACAAACCGCAGCATCTCCGAAGAAGAATCGTAACGTTGAGAAGGATTCGGTAAGATTTGGAGTCAAAGTAATAGTCGAATTAGGGTTTGACTTCAAAACCTTTTGTATAGGCAATAGAGAACATAGATTGTTTCATGTGAAATTTTGGTAATTTTTTAGATCCGTTTGACAATTTTAATTTATTAAGTGCAATTATAGAATTTTAATTGATATAAATTAAATTTGAGCTGTAATGGCATAAAATAATGGAATCATATTCATAGAAAAATCATATATATATTTATTGTTGAGTCAATTTGACAAGGTATTTTCAAAGTACATCGAACAAAAAAAGGAAAAACACGTTATGGAAAACAAGGAAATGAAAAAATAACTAATATATTTACCAAGTGCCCCAAATCCTAGACACTCGGCAAAGATAACTAATATATTTGCCCATCCCGCACCGTGACTGATAAGGACATCACTACTTCATCGCATACAAGTCAAAGAGAGGAGGAAGTCCAGCATGAGCGTTCAATTCATCTTTTCCATGGTGGAGGCCTAGTCCAACTGAAGTTGGAGCCCACCTCGGGTTCTAGGATCAGTTTGCCTTAAACTGGTCACCTAGGATGCATCCGGACTAGATCCGATCTTACGAAATGTATGATAGCGTCGATTGGTGGAGACTCGACGTTTACGATCTAGGCTTCGAACCAAGATTGATTCGGACCCCCGCAACCGTTACACCACTGCTCCGTTGGTTATCAACCACGCGAACGCGATTGACCTCGCCGAGAAAGCTTTCCTGCAAGTGAATCGAGAACACAAGCAAGAACGAGATGAATGCAATCTGAAATTGCAAATAAATATGAGGCTTATGAATACAAGAAGTTCAAGTCTTTATTCGAAAGGATTAATCGCCACAAGCAAACAAGATCAAGAACTGGGGCCCTGATTCACAGCAAGCGGCCTTAACAGCGACAGTTGCAGCAAAACGACGTCTGTTTCACGAGGAAATCAAGAACTAAACAAAACACAAACCCTAAGGAGAGCGGCGACTGATAAATATAGAGTCTTTGGCGTCACCCCCCTGGACGCGCCCCCTAATGGGCCCAAACACTATACACGGTCCAACGGACTAAATTACGGTGTCGCAACACCCTGGCAGATTCTGGGTGCTGACTTGTGACCACGATTCCTATTGATTCCGAACATGTTTTGACGTGAGACCACTTGGATTGTCTTTCTTATCAAATTAGCTTTCCATCCATATGTGGATCGTCGAAAATGGAGTCCGGATGCATCCTGGGTGACCAGTTTAAGGCAAACTGGCCCTGGAACCCGAGATGGGCTCCAACTTCAGTTGGACTGGGCCTCCACCATAGAAAAGATGAATTGGACGCCCATGCTGGACCTCCTCCTCTCCTTGAATTGTATGCGATGAAGTAGTGATGTCCTCATCAGTGACAACCCCTTGAAAATAAAAAAATAACTAATATATTTGCCGAGTGCCCTAAACCCTAGACACTCGACAAAGATAAGTTTACCGAGTGCCGTGATTTGACACTCGACAATGCCATCTTTGCCGAGTGTCCTAAATCCGACACTCGGCAAACTCAACACGTTATAAACTTAAAGAAAGACGTTTCGCCACGCCAACGATTCGTGTCTCCAAAATTGAGCCCTCACATTGGCCCGAACCTCCTCTTACTGGATCCCTCCCCTATTATCCCTTCCCTCTTCCTCTCCTTA